GAAAATAATAAGGTATTTGTCAGTACCTTCAATTTCATATCATTGCTTTTTGCCACCCTACAAGTAACTGTGACTAGATTACTGATCTCATATGTCAGTTTCCCAGTTTCTGTCAACATGTTGTAACTAAAAATGTATGATCGGAAAAGAAAGAGGTCAGTATCATTTGGGGGCGGTTTAAATCCCACGTAAGAATGGCAGACACCACCAGTAACATTATATAGACTAGGAAGGTCATTGGATAACTCGATTTAATGCCATTAAAACCTTGTAAGGATTGCAAAGTCATGGTGATGACAGTCTCAGGCAAATATACAAAACATTTCATAATTAGATGGCAAAGATAATAAACACTTTTCTGTCTAAAATAAATACCCAGCATGAAATTGATAGCAGTCTCATAAATACAATATCTTTGCAGTAACTGGGATGATAGCACCTGGTGTCCATAGTCGCTCCACAGAGAATACACACCCCTGTTTTTAATGTCTCACTCACACTCCTGCACTCAGCATTCACAATGCATGCACGAGTCCCAAACACACATACGACTTGTTTACGGCTCTTACATGCAGACAGTAGTGCCTAAGCCTCAGACTGTCTTTCTAAAGGTCACTGTGAGCGATTCTTTAGTGGAAACAGCTGTTTCCACAGCTATAAGTACTTCACATCTATAAGTGAGCCTCAAGGACAATTCCTGCACTGGGTGTGCTCTGCTGGGCTGGAGATGTAATACCTGTCACTGCCTGAGTGATCAACGGCAGCGTGGTCCTCTTGCAGGTTCTTTCTCTGCACTGTTCACTGTGGAGGTGTACTTCTCTGCAAATTTTATTCAGAATACTGTTCAATTTTCTTTTGCTTAATTCATATCTTAACTTCAGAAAACTGATTTTAGAAAATCTAACAATTAACGATTCACAAAGCCCCTCCCTTAGAAAGGAAGTAACTAGGTATGAATCAGCAGCCTGAAACAGCAAGTCTTTCAAACTTTCAGTTTCTTCTAAAAGTGAGATTCATGCCTCTGCATTAAATCTACATTGTAGGTATATAGCATCCGCAAACCCTTCTGAAACCCTAGCTGTACTGTTTTGGCAGCAAAACTGCAAAGCAACACCCCAGCATTGGTATAAATGCTGGAAACATCGTAGGGGCTACATCGATTCAAAGCAGAAGTATAAATCACACATAAGCAAAAGGAATGTAGGCCACACAGAGTTAACAGTACCAAGGGTGGGGACTTTTTTTTGTGAAACATTTAACTTGGCTCTTTTTCATGTCTGAAATCTTCTCTCATGTATCCTCTTTTTTACATTGGATTTAGGAATGTTTGCTTTGGGACCAATATACCCTTCGTGGAAATATATTCTTCTTTTTTTCCCCACTATATATTCTAGATAACCAAACTAGTATTGTTAAGTATCCTGTTTGCACCTACCTTATGTTAGCATAATTAGCTAACATTTACAGCCATTCAAGGGGCTAATGTTAGCTTAATTAGCTAGCTAGCCACATGACAAATTTCACCATCGGATATAAACAGAAATCAAAAATGTTTTGCCACCACAGGTGTAAACGACAAAGTATAACAATACAGGAAATCCTGAGCATCAATACTAACTAAAAAAAGATTATTAGACAAAGCATCATAAGAAAAATACCCTAAAGACGATTTTGTATGCCAACTTTATAACAGTTTAAATTATCAAGAGATAGAAAACAACAGTGATAGAGAGCAGGGCCTTGTAATTTGTCACTGATGATGTGGAATGCCTTAAAGGAGGAATTCGTAGAGGAGAATTAAAAGTGAAAATTAAAAGTTTAAGAGAATGGAGAGAGAGGAAGAGAGAGAGAGGCAAAGAGAAGTAGTGGAGTGAGTGATAGGATCAGAGACGGATTAGAGGACAGAGCAAAGTCCCTCGGGTGGGAGGTGTGAGAAAATTAGGTGGAGAAATCGAATGGCTGGAAGGAGGGAGAGCTAGAGTGAGGGAGGGGTGAGAAAGGGTGAGCATAAGAAAAGAAATCTGGCTGGAACGAGGGGTGGAGATTGATCCAAGATTATTAATAGTAATGTTTGATTAGCACGGGTCCAGTCAGGAAAGCGATACAGGCCAACCTAGCGGGATAACATCCCTGTCCCCACACTGAACCCGGAGCCCATTTTTCATCCTAAAATAGTTGGAGAGGACACGTATAAAACTGAAAGAGCAGAGCCTCTGATCTTTGACTGGACATCCCTCCTGAACCCATCTCGCCCCTCTTCCCGCCTTAAACCCGTCCACCAGGAACAAGGTAAGAGGAAGAACTAGGGAGAGACAAAATGTTTGCCTGAAAGAAAAAGACAGCGATAAATGAGAGATGAAACGACAAAGGCCAGTGCTTTAAGTGTAACCTGCAGCAGATCACACTTGACAATGATTTTCAGGTACCTTCCTCACAGGGCTGATGAACGCTTACAGCTGGCTTTGCTTTCTAATCAAATGCAGTGATGGATGCAACTAAACAGGAAAAGCAATTTGCCTTCTTTCACTGTCTCCATAGAGTCTGATTAGATTTAGATAGAGCGACAGTATATCAACAAAGTAATCACTTTCTGATAGTAACGTTTTGCTGCCAGAATTAAAGGACACAGGTTTGCAACACCGCTTACGTGTGAAATCTGTCAAGGTCATATTTTAATTACCACTTAATGAGATTGAAAGCAGTGTCCTGTCCGTGCTCCATGGTAATGCATCTGTAGCAAAATGCTGATGAAGTACGGGACATTTCTCTTGAGAATAAATCCATGTGCTTATGATTAAAATGTTGCATATTACTCACATACTAAACTGTGCCATGAATATTAATGAGGAGAACAATACTTTAGTGATTACAGTCTTAATTAATGAGGAGACAGAGTTTTTTGGTGCAAACATGGCACAGGGACGTGCCCCTCGGGTAAAGCGGTACAACTTTGGCCATCTTTGCTCGTGGGCCGTCATTAATGGTGTATCTGCTTCACATCAGGATATTCTTATTACGTTGGCATAATTTAAAGTACAGTTTTACCTCAGGTGCCAAATGACATATCTCTTATATACTGGTCTCTAAAAACTTACTGTACAGGAAGAGCAAAAAGATGCATGTCTCCTGCTTGAAATACACAATAACACACCCCATGTATATAAAGCTTCATCAGATTCAGCCCATAGCACACTGAAATGTCTAAAAAATTATTTGTATGATCATTGTTATGATTAGATTAGAAGTTTTGTTTTCCTTTGACCAGCAACTGAATATTTTCTTGTAAAACAATGCACAGATCCCTCTGCACACACACACATACGCACATGCAAACCACAAATGCAGCGCTGTTGCTGATGGCAAGCTGTAGCTATGTGGTTAAGCTATCCTCTCCCGTACCTGCCAGCGGATTAGACAGTGGCCAGTGGTGATAACAGCCAGATGATCCCCATGCCTCTGCTGCTCTTATCAAATCCTCTTTTTTCTCGCTGCAGTCGCCCGTGGCTACATGCACGCACAAGTGTGTTTGTTTCAGTTATGGAACTGACACCACTGTACCATCTCTTCTCATAAGGAGCAGTATACAATCGATAAGCAGTCTTATGCACTCTAACAGATAGCTCTGGTTGAGGTAATTTTGCAGATCAGTGGCGATTCAGATTAAAAGCTTTCAGGGAGAAAGAAAATCATTGAGGGCTCCCTTTGTTTCAAGAAAGAATAGCCCATCAGAGTGCTTCATTGTCTTCACATTAATGGTGTAGCTAAAGCTGCTGGTACCCTTTAAGGGAACTGAATAACAAATGTTAAATATTGAAATCTTTTATAGGGATATGAAATGCACTGTATGGTTATAGGCCGAATGAAAAATTGTGGAGTTTTTAATTACAAAGTAAACCTCGCTGTTGGCGATCGTAATGAAACCTTAAATCAGCATAAAGCTTAAGGGGTGTTTAAGTCACATAATAACAATAATTCCACTATAATGTGTTTATTGTTTAATGTTAGATTGCTGTAAAATGCCAGAGAGGCGGAAAGAGAAAAAATGAAGAAGGTTCATTTTCAGTTCACACTGCAGTAATACTGAAGGGGCACCTTGCCTTGGTTTATCTATGTAAGTCTAACACACACTGGCACACACATATTACCTCAGCTTTTAACAGAGTTCCTCTCAAACACACACACACAAACACACACTCAGATTGACGTTCTCAAATGAGCACAAACGGCTCAGGTTTCTTGAAATGCAAGTATATTCTTCTTCCTGCATTCTACCTCTTCACTCGAGTCTGCCTGGCACCTCAGTAACACATTTAAAAACTTTCACACGCACACGCACACGCACACACACGCAAATATATTCACACATCCATGCAGCTGTTACTGTAAACTGGAGAGTTGGCACTCCTGCACTATAGTTGGGTTTCCCACACCTAGCAAGACCATCAGAGTCATGTGACTTCCCAAGTCTTTCCCCACTTTAAAAGGTTCACAGGCAAGCCTTGTGTAAACCAGAACTGCCTTTGAGATGTTACCTTATCCTCAAGAAATACGAAGCGTTTTCTAAAGTTCGTTCTTTGTAGAATAACTTTCAATTTTTTATTTATCCAGACAAAAGATGTCATCTAATAATAAGCAAACATTTCACCAATTATGAGCAAAATGTGTTACTGTATACACTGTGTACAAATAAATTACTCTGTTAATAAATAGGCAAAATTACAAATGGTTCATTATCTGACATTTTAATAAACTACTAGAAAAGTGATAACAATAAGAAGTAAATAATATACAAAGAGGGATTTGCAAAACATTAAGCAGTCATTGAGTCCACACTTTGAAATACATGAATAAATTCATAAATGCATAATGGACTTTGCTTGTTGTGGACATGGATCATGTTGACGTCTTAATAATTGTGCTACTATGGCTGGCATAGCTGTTCGTTTTAGATTCTTTTTGTGGTATTGAATGAAATCCCCCGACATTAAAGTTTAGAGTTAAAGCAATCTGTCAACTTTTTAAAAAAGCTGCTAATTACCTTTCTCACTCATTAGTACATTTGATAAAACAAATATATAATATGCCCATGAATAAGCTTTAGAGTTGTTGGTATGTGGATTTCCCTTATGCTAAGAACAAGTTTCATCCACTTCCTTCCAATCTATTCTGGCTCCAGTATCGTATACTTCAGGCACGCCTGACATTTCAAATGTTCTCATTTGACTTTGCAAGAAAGTCGAGTAAACTGAATTTTTTTTTTAAAAGAAGCTTTTTTTCTAGTCTTGCATTATTCAGTTTTGGCACATCTGTGTGAATTGTAGCCTCAGTATCCCTTTCTTAGCAGGCAGGGCTGGCACGCAGTGTGGTCTTCTGCTTCTGTATTTAGAGATGCTCTTCTATAAACAGAATAGTTGATCGACTGTTGCCTTCCTATAAGCTTGGCCATTTTCTCTGACCTCTTTCATTGGCAAGACCTTTTCATTGGATATTTTCTCTTTCCCAGACGGCTCTCTATGAACCCTAGAGATGGTAAGTCTCAAGAGATCAGCAGTTTCTGAAATACTCGGACTACTCCATCTGGCACCAACAACTATGCCACTCTCCTGGCAGACTTTCTGACTAATAGGTCACAATGCATGAGGGTGAATCATGTATTTTCTGATCTGCTCTCCTCTTGTACTGGATCCCCCCAGGGTTGCTGCCTCTCTCTCCTCTTCTGTTCATTCTTTACACGAATGAGTGTTGCAGCAATTTCACGAACAGACACATCCTGAAGTTTGCTGATGACACAGTGATCGTCAGTCTTCTGGTGGGGGACGAGTCAGGCCATGGACAGGTTGTAGATGATTTTGTGGATTGGTGTGATGAGTCCTTCCTTTCACTCAATGTGTCAAAAACTAAAGACATGATTATTGATTTTAGGAAGTCCTCTTATAGCTCATCACCTACTATCATTAAAACTGCTGATATTGGGATCGTTGTGAGTTATAAATATCTGTGGTACTTGACCATAAAATGTGTTTTGAATCTCATGCTGATGCCACTACTAAAAATGTTCAACAAAGACTGTTCTTTTTAAGGAGAATGAGATATTTTAATGTCTCATCTGAGATGTTGTCTTTGTTTCATAGAAGTTTTATCGAATCTGTGATGTCTTTTTGTATCGCTGCCTGGTTTGGTAACCTGATAGTGAAGAATAAGAATCGGTTGGGTCTTTTGGTAAAAACTGCTAGCAAAATTTCAGGGCGCTGGCAAGATGGACTTTTGGCCATTTACAATAAAAATGTGCTTAGAAAGGCTCATTCTATTGTTAATTGTTCGAACCATCCACTTCACAGTGAGTTTGAGTTGTTGCCTTCTGGCCACCGTTTTAGAGTACCTCTGAGGAAGACCAAAAGACTCCAAGCTTCTTTTATCCCTACTGCATCCTGTCTCCTAAATGGCATATAACCGTTCTGGGATTTTATATTATTATCATTGTCATTTTATAATAATAATAATAATGGATTTATATAGCGCTTTTCAAGGCACCCAAAGCGCTTCACAATTCCACTATTCATTCACTCTCGCATTCACACACTGGTGAAGGCAAGCTACAGTTGTAGCCACAGCTGCCCTGGGGCAGACTGACAGAAGCGAAGCTGCCATATCGCGTCATCGGCCCCTCTGACCAACACCAGTAGGCGGTAGGGTAAAGTGTCTTGCCCAAGGACACAACGACCAGGACAGAGAGCCCGGGGATCAAACCGGTGACCTTACAGATACGCTTCCCAACCCCCTGAGCCACGGTTGCCCCAGTATATGATTGTTTTGTTTACTTTTATCCTGTTGCTAAACTAATTTCCCTTTTGGGACAATAAAGATTGAATTTGAATTGAATTATGTGATTGGCTGATTAGATTATTGCATCGATGAGAATTAAAATGAATACCATGTGATCTACTAATCACATAGACATTACCAACATTAAAAATGAAATAAAATGACACCAACGAAGAAAATCTGCACATTTCCTCAAATACCTAATTTATTTAATAGATTATTAAAAGAGATCTGGGATGTTATAGATTAACTTTGGTGTATTTTTTACCATCCTCACAAGGTGAACTGTTAGTCTGTTTGTATGCGTGCAGGTGTGTCTGCGTGGTAAAATGTGCTACTGTAACAGGAAATATCACAAAGATGGATTTTTGGATTTTAGCAGTTTTTTGTGTCTTTCAGAGGACAGGCTTGGTCAGCATGTAAAAGCATCATTCACATGAATTTACTGGTGTATAGTTGAAACCAAAATGACTCTGAAGATAGGTTTGCTTAACCGTTAAGGGTCATAAAGGTACATAAAGAGCTGCTAAACATTCGTTTTATTGTGCCTATTAATCACAGTGATACCTGAGGCATGATGCAGCAAAGAACAGGCGGCGTGAGTCATTTGCAACCTGCGGAAATGTATAGGTCATACAGACCGTATTTCCAACAGTGAGAAGGACGGAGGGGTGATATTGGCCAGTTCAGTATCATTTGCTGAACAGAGAGAACACAGTGTTGATGACGGTCCAAGGAAAATGATGATGGAGTGTCATTCCTATGACTTTAGCTGAGACAGTTCAACTCCGTCAACTCTCAAAGTTTTCCACCAGAGCATCTTACTAATCTTTGCAAATGTGTTCCATGTTAAAAAATTAAGAAGATGGATTACTATGAAATTAGGCACACTTGTTGATAATTGGTGAATGCATTATGGTTAATTTGTTAGTGTTGCTATGTTTCAGACAACCTCAGAATAGGATATTTTGAAGCCTTAACTAGATTAAAATGAAAGGGCTGAAGATTTCAAGTATATTGTATAAAATAGAAACTTATTGTCTTAAATACAAGCTGGTGGTTTTTTTTATGTAGTAATGATGTGACTGCTAACCCTTAGAAGTGATTTGACTTAATATCTGAAGCTATGTTTACAATTAATTGCTAATTCAACTCAGCTGTTTTTTTCATTTTCAAAACTCAACATAATTTTAAACTTGACTAAAGCTTTTCAGTCAAGTTTTTTTAAGCTGCAGTGGAATGAACACCATTGGTTGCCCTACACCAGTCTGACAGTCTAACTCTTAAATAGCTTCTAAATTATTATCATTTAATATTTTTCACAGACATTTCATTATCTGGATTAATCAGACAGCCCTAACAACACTGGATAAAAAAAACAGAAAGTAATATGAATTAAATGTTCACTTTATTGTCACCTGTCACCTGCTGACAAGTTTTTACCCTTGAAAATCATCTCTTCTCCTCCTGTCCTCCACCCTCTTTCTTTCTCCATCTTTGAGAGTGACCGATTCAGTTTTACATTTTTAAGATACTGTTAAGGTGTTTGAAACACGCTACTTAAAAAAGTAGCTCTGCTTATGCTCATCTCCCGTCTGTGCGAGCTAGACGCCGAATAAAAAATCTCTTTATTGTTAGCATCTGCTTGCACAAATGAATGACAGGTATTAGAGGATGTGTGTGGACTGTGCTCTGCCATGGGGTGACATTACGTTCTGATTTGCTGATTATCTCTGTGGCATCTGCCTCTGAATCAAACTACGTATCAGATATCAGATTTAATTGCTCGTTAACTGAAGGTGTCAGGACACCGTTAGGGATCACGTGCGTTCCAGCGTGGCTGGTATTGCTTTCACCTTGTGAATCGTTCGGTCTGTCTGCTTGTTTTTGTGTTCTCATAGGAATATATAGTGATTGTGACACCAATATATACAGGACCTGCTGCAAGGGCAGTGTTTTGAGTGTTTTGCACGTGTACACTTACTGGCTACATCATTAGGTACATCTTGCTAGCAACCGTTTGGACCATTTTTTTTTTGTCCTTAGAGCTGCCCTAATTCTTGGTGCTGTAAAACATTCCTCAGAGATTTTGGTCCACATTTATATTCACAGCCAGTTTGGCTTTGTGAGATGGTGTGTTATACTGCTGAAATCAGCCTTCAGAAGATGGGTGGACACCATCACCACTGACTTGAACCTGACCCTCCTATGCCGGCACAAATCAAGACTCATCAGGCTAGGACATGATTTTCCAATCCTCTGTTGTCCAATTTTGCTAAGTCCATTCAAATGTCAGCCTCAGTTCCCTGTTCATAGCTGACAGAAAGAGCACTCGCTGTGGTGTTTTGCTGCTGTAGACCACATCTGCTTCAAGTTCTTGAGATGTTGTGTGTTTAGTGATGTTCTTCTGTATATCTTGTCAGTCAATCACTTTTGCCTTTTTTTTTCAGCTCAAAACAGTCTCTCCTTTGATGTCTGGCATCAATAAGGCATTTTCTCTCAGAGAACCAGCACTCACTAGATGTTTTCTCTATTTCAATCCACATAACTAAGTCTACTTCCTTAGACACAGTTATGTGGAACAATCCCAGTACATCAGCAGTATATCCGTCTGGCACCAACAACCATGCTCAATGTTCAAAGTCACTTAAATCACCTTTCTTCACCACTCTGATGCTCAGTTTGAACTCAAGCAGGTCACCTTGACCACATCTGTATGCTTAAATGCACTGAACTGCTGCCACGTGACTGCTGATTAGTGCTAATGAGCAGCTGAACAGGTGTGCCTAATGAAATGACTGCTGAGCTTGTGTTAGAAATATGAGGGACCCCGTGCCTTCCCATTTTACACTCTGCTACACAGTCTTTGGCTTCTGATGTATTTGTAACTTCCACTGTGACACAGCTTTACCTGAGGTACAAAAATGTGAGATTTAGGATGATATAAACTCCCAGAGATGTCATTGGTACTCTAGGCAAGCATTTTTTGCAACTTTGTGGGACACAAAGTAAAACATATGCTTCCAGTTTATCATTTTTGATTAGTAGGGAATAAAACTGGTGAATAACTTAAATTAAATTTATTTGATCTAGTAAATGTCTTCAACTAGTTAGTCTCTGGTAGGGATGGGTACCGGTATCCGGTGCCATGATGACACCGGTTCTTAAATAAACGCTAGTAACCAGACCGAAAAGCAGCGCACATTTCGGTGCTTTTTTTTTT